TCGAGTAACTGCGCATAATCTATGCGCAAAGATAACGCAATCTTACATTTGTCCCTTTCTAACATGCTGATATTGAGATCATAGACTGCTCCTGAGAAAAAATAGAATTTGAAATTCGACGAGAATACTAGAATTTGAGGAGTTATAGCGCAAGTCCGAAATGATCTAGTTTATTTATATACCACAAAGTACAACTGATCACAAAACACACATCCCATATTTGCTTGAAACCACAATCAATGAAGTTTCTAAGTCTGGTCTGTAACTAGATCTAGTAAAAGATGACCTTATGAGAGTACAAAGTACAAGTAGAGCACACAGAACTTCTTGTTAGTAACCATCACTTACGGGACAATATATATCGGAATTCGCGAGTACTTAGCAATTGTTCCAAACCACTGGGTCACCTGCACGTCATAGTCATATATCAAACAAAGTGTTTTTTAGAAAGCTGATTTTCATAAACCGTCAACTAACAAGAAGTTTTTTTTTTAAATAGGTGGAACGTTTTCGCAAAATTTAAAAGTTTCTAAGCCAACCAAAGAAACATTGCTATGGCAAATAAAGAAAGGTTTAAGAAGAAAAGACGATTATACTTTATACTTTCGTTGCACTTAGCAGTCAGTGAGCACTTCTTGCCCGCTTTAAAAATGCATAAAGCAATTTCTCAACCCCGTAATTTCACATTAGAGAAAATCAGAGTTTAGATCATTAGCTAATGAATAGGCTTGTACGCTGTTTTAGGTAAGAAAATGGAGCCACTCGAAAGTTGCGGTATAAGTTTAACAATTTTTGCCCTCTAAAACAGCGTATTTGTTTTCGAGTCGTTTCGTTTTGGGGACTACATGTCGTCAAAATGGAGCGCTGAGGAAAATGAGACTCTCTCCATGTGCATTTAACGCCTAAAGCTAAGGCAGTTCAAAAAAAAAAATTTGTGATAACAACAGTCCAGGCGATTTAGCTTTGATTAAAGGAATATATAGAAAGCGAACAATGAGCGTGCAGTTGGTAATTAATTGGGAACTTTTGACTAAAATAAAGCAGTGCAGTGGAATGGACTTTAAAAGCGTAACTGAGCGAGGGATGCTGAAGGGGGTGCCACGTGTCCTTGCATCTGTGGATGAAATATTTTACAACTCTTAGATACATCACTGTGGAAGAAAAACAAGATTATCTTAAAAAACTGCAATGCTCAAAGGTCATGATACTTAGATAAAGGGATTCGGGTTCAGCCTAAGGGAATGGAAACTGTGCTGATTTCTGAGATGCTTCGACTATGTATGGCTTAGGCCACAATATCTTGAAATTGTATAAAGATATGCAATATGTATTTGCAAGGAGAAGGACCAAGAACTTTTGCTGATTCTTTCTTTGAAAGGCAAAATAAAAGATGATGTTGTGGGAAAAGAGTAGCAACTGTATGTTACGCTGAAAGATAATTTTAGCATGCAAAAAGTGAAGGATGACAGCAAAACACTATTTTCGGTCATGTTACATCTTTTCTCACGCGGGAATATCACGTGCAATCACAACGAAAGGCAATCAAACATTAAATAAAAGGAAGGTCCGCTCTACAAAGAGGTTTGCAGTAGCACTGAGTTAATTGTCAAAATAGGAAAGAGAAAGGCGTTCGATGTACATGGAGGGATAGTCTATACACATTGCCTTCGCGATAAACAATCATAACATATCCAATAAGTTTAGTAACTCACAGTAACACCGATGACAGCTAATGTTTGCTGATACGACCTCGATGACAAGAAAAGAGAGCAATAGAAACGTTCAATGCCCTTGAAAAACACTAGAGGAAACAGAGTGAGCTACAAAAGTTCGCTTGTA